TCAGGGAATCGTCCGGCCGCCCTGTTTCGGGTGACCTGCTCCCTGCTCCATCCGGGAGTGCGGGAGGATCCCTTGGAAGGCAGGGCAGAGGATTTTGGACAATACCTGTATGACAAAATCGCTCAGATCCGGGGGGGATTTGGACTCTGACTGGGTAGATCAGGGCAGGGTGACGAGGAATAGTCTTGAGAATGTTACCTGGGAGGAGTTTGATGCTGTGACTCCCGATGATGTGGACAGGATTTTGGGGAGACTTAGTGCGGCCACATGTTTACTGGATCTGTGTCCCTCCTGGTTGGTACTGGCTTCCCGGGAGGTTACACGAGGCTGGCTCCAGGGTGTTATCAACGCTTCATTGAGTGAGGGCCACTTCCCCACTGCCTTGAAAGAGGCGGTGGTGAGGCCTCTCCTCAAGAAGCCGTCCCTGGATCTGGCAATATTGGCCAACTACCATCCTGTCTCCAACCTTCACTTCATGGCGAAGGTTGTTGAGAGTGTGGTCGCGCGACAGTTCCCACAATTCCTGGAGGAAACATCTTATCTAGATCCGTTCCAGTCGGGTTTCAGGTCTGGGCACAGCACGGAAACGGCATTGGTCGCATTGGTTGATGATCTCTGGAGGGCTCGGGACAGGGGTTGCTCCTCTGTTCTGGTCCTGTTAGATCTCTCAGCGGCTTTTGATACCATCGACCATGGTATCATGCTGCACCGGCTGGAAGAGTTGGGGGTGGGAGGCACCGTGTTGCAGTGGTTCTCCTCCTTTCTCTCCAACTGGTCGCAGTTTGTGTTGGCAGGGGGGCAGAGGTCGACCTCGAGGCCTCTCATTTGTGGAGTGCCTCAGGGATCGGTCCTCTCGCCCCTTCTGTTCAACATTTATGTGAAGCCGCTGGGCGAGATCATCCGTGGCTTCGGGGTGAGATACCACCAGTACGCTGATGACACCCAGCTGTACATCTCCACCCCAGGCCACCCCAACGATGCCCTTGAAGTGATGTCCCAGTGCCTGGAGGCTGTGTGGATCTGGATGGGGAGGAACAGGCTCAAGCTCAACCCTTCCAAGACTGAGTTGCTGTGGCTCCCGGCATCCCGATATAGTCAGTTGACTCCATCACTGACTATTGGGGGCGAGTCTTTGGCCCCCACAGAAAGGGCTCACAATCAGGGAGTCCTCCTGGATATGCAGCTGTCCTTGGAGGAACATCTGACGGCTGTAACCAGGGGGACCTTTTGTCAGGTTCGCCTGATTCGCCAGTTGCGGCCGTTTCTTGATCGGGATTCCCTGTGCACAGTCACTCACGCCCTCGTCACCTCTCGCCTTGACTACTGCAACGCGCTCTACATGGGGCTCCCCTTGAAGAGCACCCGGAGGCTCCAGGTGGTCCAGAATGCAGCAGCGCGGGTAGTGACGGGAGCAGCATGGCGCTCCCATGTAACACCGCTCCTGCGTGAGCTGCACTGGCTCCTGGTGGTCTTCCGGGTGCGCTTCAAGGTGTTGGTTATCACCTTTAAAGCGCTCCATGGCATAGGGCCTAGCTATCTTCGAGACCGCCTGCTGCTACCGACGACCTCCCATTGACCCGTGCGCTCCCACAGAGAGGGCCTTCTCAGGGTGCCATCAGCCAAACAATGTAGGCTGGTGACCCCCAGGTGGAGGGCCTTCCGCCGTGCCCTTAAAACCCACTTTTTCCAGCAATCCGGGCTGGCTTAAGAAGAAATTTTTAAATGTTTTAATTGGTTTGTGATTTTTAATTTTGGGGCCAAATTTATATATATATTAATTGTTTTTAATATTGGTATTTCACGTTCTTAATTCTGGCTGTACACCGCCCTGAGTCCTCAGGGAGAAGGGCGGTATATAAATTGGAAATAAAATAAAATAAAAATAAATAAATATATTTTGAACCATGTATAAAATAAACAAAAAATGTGAAACATCTAAATTCTAGCATTTTCATGCTTTCTTTTGCCCTTTGCCAGTCTTTATGTTATTTTAATTAAGTTTGAGTTCATTCCCTGTGTCTTCCATTACCCATTATTGGTTTTTTGTTATTTGGTTATTGGTACATTGGAATAAATCACAAATTATACAGAATCTAGTTGATATGATATTATTTAAAGTGGCGTTCACAAAAATTCTGAGGTTTTGTATCAGAACATAGAAATAGGATGTCATTTTTATGGATTTATATAGTGGGAAATTTTGGAAGGGCTTATCATGTTTTCTTTGAGTGACTTTTTGATTTGCAAGAAAGGAGATGACTCTCCTTGGTTGATTAATAAACTTTGTGTAAATATCAGATTTTTGAAGGATTGAGGAATAGATCATTTTAAAAATGCTTCATCTTTTCCTATATGAAAATTATTTGTTCCAATTTAAAAGCCCTCCAGAATTTATGAATATATATATATATATTGGAAAGGATGAAACAGTTGTCTTTCTCCAATAAGCTACAGGGAATTATTTCCACTTATGAGTACTGTAATGTATTTGTGTGGGAGTTGTGACACTTTAAGTAGAGCACTTGCCATGTAGTCTTAGACTCAGCCTCACAATAGAAGACTCATTTTTAAGCTGTATTGGCCATTAGTTATGTCCAGAAAAATGGTGTAAGATAAGAAGCATCTTTATATGAAAGCATCTGAGATGTACTTTCCATCCTTGTTGTAATTCTTCAAATTATTTTCTAAACACCAGTTCAATTTTAGTTGATATTAACAGACAAAACTTTCCACCCCAAACTATAAGACCTCGCTACTATTGTAGTCATTAGGATGGATATAGGTTGTCCTTTTAGAACAACAGACATAGTTGGAATTTTGAGAACCGTTAAATGTTCAAAAACTGGCTGCCGTGAGAAGGATGTCTTTTTCACAAAATGGCTGCCTAGTTACCAAACACCCATTCAGTGAGAATCTCTTTGCCACCCCAATTTCTACTTTTTTTCTGGACAGAAAAAACATTCTCTCCAGCAGCATAAAGTGGTAATTCAGTATCTTCATTTTTTAACAGAATAACTGGGAGGCTTGATTGGACCTAGAGAAATATTTTAATATAAAAGGGCAGATTAGTGTTTATTTTATATTGTATTTTTAAGTCAGGAGGAGCTAGAAGATACCAGTTGCCTATCTCTGCATTAAAAAGGCTTCTCCAATCACTGCTTGGAATAAAATCACTTTCCGGCCATATCTGGAGATGAATGCAGAATTTCCAGAAACATTGAAGCCATGGGAATATCCCCTCCCCTCCCCACCACACACACATTTTTTCCCTGTCCCTAAAATGAAATATGTGGGAAAATGGAATTGTATACAATAATTAATGTTGACTTATCTTAGAGACTTAGCTAACTTATAGTTGTTTTGTGTGTAACTTGATTGACTTATGAAAATATATTCAGTATATAACATTGTGTATAATAATATGCATCTATTGAATGAATTTGTTTTAAATCTACAAATGGAGATACAAATTGTTGAATTCTAAGGAATGTAACACTTAAACTTCTGCTCTTTAGGAGAGACAGACAGGCAGGCAGGAGGGAGAGAGAGAGAGAGAGAGAGAGAGATCCAATGTTAAAAAAATACGTTTTGTCATATTAATCTGACAGATAGGCAGACAGGCAGGCAGCAAAAAGTGAATGTTGGCCATAAGAAGCTATCAGGATTGTGGTGTAACAAATACAACAATCACATAACATTTCACAAAAGAGAGAGAGAGAGAGAACGAGAGAGAGAGAGAGAGAGAGAGAGAGAGAGAGAGAGAGAGAGAGAGACGAGAACTGTTCTGAACTGTTTTATGTTATTTTGTCATTTTTGGATATTGTAGGAGACTTTCAGACTTATTTACTTTTTCACATTTTCATTTATTTCAATGTTTCCAAATATAGTATGGTATGATTGATATGCTATCTAAAATTAAACTATTTCATGTTTTTTTCAATCTTAAAAAATAATACACAAAAAAGGCCTTGAGATTTAAAAACAGAGGAAAACTGTTTTCTGATGGTGTTTCCCCCCTGTTTTTTAGGGAAGGGAGATAGACTTCTACGTCTGTGTCCATAGCTTTTGCAAGATAGGTTTCTTACAATTCTCTTCCTATTACTATCTCATCTTCTGTTCCATGTAATAAGTCAAAGTTTGAATGATTTTCCCCAGTATATTGGATTATTGCTTTACTTGTAATTTCATGATATTCTTCTGCTGCTGGGCACATTTCTTTCTTTTTAAAAATGTATATTTTATTGATTAATTCTAATATTTATTTTGAAGGCCTTTGGGTGGAAAATTGACTTAAAATGCTAATATAAATAAAACAACATTGCTTCTGAAATTGTGGGGCATTGCAAAATCAGGTTACTGTATTGATGTGGGAACTTGCTTTTAAAAAGGTGGGGGGGGTCAGACCTCTATTGATAATTATTGATTTCAAGAAGCTAAACTAAAATATAATGTACAGTATGAAATGTACAATTAACAATGACAAATGTCTGCCTGCAGGCTTATAATTCTAAATAAACAGACATACAAAGGAAAAAAAGAATGGGAACAAAATAATACAGTCAAATCTCTGATCCAGCTTGCTCAATGTTGCCTAATCTGTCAAGAGTTCCCTGGGATTTCAGATGCAAGATTTTATGTATTTATTTTATTTATTTGTTCATTTTCTATATTTCCTAGGCTTATCAGGGTGATTGAACAGATGAACACTAAGGCATCCTATTTGCAAGAGAGTTGTACTGCTGTGGAAATATAGGCTTTCTGGAGTGGGAAAATAGGAATAGTAACATATGATAGAAGAGGAGAAATTCTTACTTTTAAAACAATCAATTATTGAATAATAAATATGCCTGCCATGAGGCTCATTCTGAAGAGTGGGTAGAATATCTTTGTGCCTTATCAGAGTATAGTGGCTGATAGTGTTGTATGCTGAGGAGAGAAACTGCATTTACATTTAGTGGAACTGCTTAAATGAAATATGTTTTTCATCTTTTTCCCCTTAGTCTGCTGGAAACCATGTTTCACTACACAGATGAACCCAGATTCACCATAGAGCAAATAGATCTACTTCAACGCCTGCGGCGTACTGGTATGACACGCCACGAAATCCTTCATGCTTTGGAAACCTTTGACCGTCTTGACCAGGAACACAGTGACAAGTTTGGGCGGCGGTCTGCCTATGGGAGTGGATCCTGTAGTAACAGCACCAACAATGTTCCAGCGTCTTCCTCTACAGCCACAGCTTCCACACAGACCCAGCACTCTGGGATGTCCCCATCTCCAAGCAACAGTTATGATACCTCCCCACAACCTTGCACTACCAATCAAAATGGGAGGGAGAGTAACGAGAGGTTGTCTGCCTTCAATGGGAAGATGTCGCCTACACGTTACCCTCTGGCAAATAGCATGGCTCAAAGGTCATATAGCTTTGAAGCCTCTGAGGAGGACTTGGATGTAGATGATAAAGTAGAAGAATTGATGAGGTAGGCAAAGTTGTATATTATGGATCAAGAATTACCCATTCCCAGCTTCTTTTTCTTCCCATTCCCTGCAAAGGCACTTCAGAGGATCGGATTGTTCTAAATTGCTTTGTTTATTTTCCCAGATCAAAGCTTAGTTGTCTTAGGCCAGTTGGACTGAAGGAAGACCTTAGCTCTTTGTTCATCTGGTTCATTCTTCACAGCCTTAGTTTGAATTTGGATGATTATCTAAAGGAAAAACTGACATGGTGAAACTACCAATGAGTGACACTTCTGACATGGCAACTGGTCATTTGAACACTTGAATGCATTGCTTAGGTGCAGAAAGGTTCAAGCATAACAGTTTCCCCAATCTAATGGCTTTCAATCATCCTCTATTAGAATAGGTCAAGAAAAGCTGCTGTGGGGATCTTTTTTTGGTTTAATGAAGAAAATAGATACTCAAAAATTCTGATTCCAAGCACTGGGCTTGGAACACAGTTGCTTTGTGAAGTTCAGCAGAATATAGGCCAGGAGTGAATATGGGTTTTTAAAAGACCCAATGTGCCTGTATTATTATATAAAGCAAATAATCGGACATACTTAAGGAAAAAAAAACCCAGTTATTTGGATTAATGAACTCATATATGAGTCAGCCATAAAGTATTTGCTATAATTATGCAAACTCTAAAATTGAACTCAGCAAATATATATATATATTTATATACATACATACATACATACATACATACATACATACATGTGTGTGTTTTCCTTCTAGCCAGGTTTTCCCTACGTAACCATGGTTTTTTTGTAGCTCCAGCTCAGTAGAATCACATCTACTCGGTTCTGATCTATTCTGATTCACATCTATTCTGATTCTACTGAGCTGGAGCTACAAAAAAACCCTTGGTTACATAGGGAAAACCTGGCTAGAAGGAAAACACACATAAACCCTACGAAGAAGTAAGAAAAATATATATATATATATATATATATTATAATATATATATATATATATGTGTGTGTGTGGTGTGTGTGTGTGTGTGTGTGTGTGTGTGTATACACAGTGTGTACACACACACACACACTCACACACACACACAGATATATATTATCCAGACCAGAGTATCATATTTATGCACCTTAAATTGTATTTTACATGGTTTATCTGATTTTGCCAGAATAAAAAGAAACAAAGAATCGAGGAAGATAATGCTTAAATTTAGAATTACTTTTAAGACAACTGAAAGTACTACTGAAGTATGGTTTTCACTCAGTTATAAAGAATGGAAATTTAAAGAATTTTGATGTGCATAGAGCTATGGATATGACTTTTAGTTTTTGGCCATACAATGTTCCAACATATCTATTGACTGCTTCACTATATCAGTTACTAAAATTTGGGTCTATTATGTCTGTTATTACTCAGCAAAGCATGTTTTCTACTCAGTGTCCATTCTCACAAATCCATTCTAATTATTGTTTCATAGTGAATATTGCTTCTTTTCCTAGCATTGAGAAAATGAACAGTTACAGTGATAATTAGGATAGATTTAATAGTCTAGAGCAGATAGATTTATGAGGAGTAATTATGAAATAGCCAATTGTGTCTTCCTGACCTGTTTGTGGAATTTCTTGCTCCATTTTGCTTCTCACTCCTACAGACACCCATTCATATAGATCAGTTTTATGTTCTGCTTTGCACTGATGAGTGCAATGCATATTCTTTAGTTCTTCTTAATGAATTTCACAGTGACTGTTCACTGTGGGTTGGTTATAGGAGGATACTAATTGCAGTACCACAGATCTCCACACCAAAATAAAGAAGATGAGATAGAATCATTCTATATGAATCACCAGAAACATTCAAATTGTCCCACTTCTAATAGATGTAATAAATAAAAAACAAAACAAAATAACCTCTGCTTTAATAATTGTGGCAATTTGCTTCAGTCTGGTTGCTGACCCTCTGGTTCTTAAATCTAGGTATCAATGTGGTTTGCTCTGATTTCTCTCCTTTTAGCAATATTTTCTTTGCTGGAGTCTTATTTAATGATAGAAACTGTTACTGATGCCGTTTCCTCTCCTCCCACTCCCAAGATGTTAGTTGCAGAGATTTATTCATCCCCTGTAATGAAACTTTGTACATTCCATATGGCTTGCATGAATTTATACAGACCGCGAGTCATCCATTTTCCTTGTATGCTTTGATCCACCAATGACACTGATTAAAAGAAATGTCTGCTGGCAAGGGCAATATATCAACCCCCTCCCCACCATCCACCACAAATGCATCTTCAAATTCTACTTTGGTCCTCTCTCTCTCGCTCTCTCTCTTTTATTTTTCTAACCCCACACATTTTGATAGGAGGGACAGCAGCGTGATAAAAGAGGAAATCAAAGCCTTCCTGGCCAACCGGAGGATTTCTCAAGCAGTTGTTGCACAGGTTACAGGTAAGAGCTTGAAAATGTCCCCTTTTCTATTCTAAAGTGTTGCTACATCATCTTGCTCATTTGCTGGCTAGTGCAGGTGTTAGCATATTGCGAGGCATTCTGCATTGCAGTACGTATCTGTCAAGGTAGTTATAATATATGCCTTTGATTTAATATCCATTGTCATACATGTCATGAAACTTCCTCAGTGAATCAGTGCTTTTATTCCACTTCTCTAATACTGCTTGATTTTTTCCTCAGCCCCGCTCCATTCAATGATTCATACTAGCAGGATTTGCCCCCTATAATATTGTAATGAGTATCAAGTGCTTTTGAAATGGCTTTTTTAAAAATTCTAAAAGTCACATATGGTGATCTCGTTTCAGTGTAGAAAAGTGCATCCTTTCGACTAGCTGATTTAAGGAAGACATTAGCTCAGTTCACAGGACACTGGAAAAGTTTTTAATTATACTTGGTATATTACATCCATAATTTGACCTTTCTACTTAAGCTATGTGGGTAATACTACTCCCGCACATGCTTGGTTTTTCAGTGCTTACCTTTTACAGATAGTCCCCTGGTTAAGAATGAGTTCTATTCCCAAGGTCTGTCCTTAAGTTGAATTTGTATTTCAGCCAGAACAATATTATTGTATAATACTATGTAAGTGAATATTGTGTAATGTATTTGAACTATTGTGTATTTAATTTGAATCATTAGTTTAGTTTAGTTTATTTGATTTGTCTATTTAATTTAAATTTTGCTACCATAGGTTGCGTCTTTAAACCAGTGTGTTCTTGCCCAATGACTTGTTTGATTTGTAATATTCATATATAATAAGGATGCTGTACAAATATAATGTGCAGACATATGTAGTAATTTTATATTTATATTCCACCTTTTATGCTAGGATTTTAAGCTAGCATACACAGTTTTCTCTTGCACCCCATTTTTCCCATACAGTAATTACTATCTAAAGTAGGCTGATGTAGTGACTATCCAAAATGAACTCCGAAAGCTTCCTGACTTTGGAGGAGTCTGGATATTCTCAGTTTTAATACAACATTTTAAACTTAGTCCTCCAAGTGGAGAACTGTTACTCTTTAAATAAATTGGTAGCCAGTTATAAAAACATACTGTTGAAACAATTATTTTCAATCAGTTCAAAACTTCAGGAAGAAGAGAGAAAACTCTCTGTATAAGGGAACTTACTCAGTTGAGTACATGTTTTAAATTTAGATTTAAAGTCCACTTCAATTTCCTGTACATCTAATTTAAAAGTAGTAGTGCTAAAAAAAACCCTCTCCCAATTAATGTAGGTAATACTGATCTATATGGATCAGTAATCTGACTTAGTAAGTTCATCACTTACTTTGCTATTGACAGTGCTTATGTTTTGAGGAATCTCAGAAGAAGATGTAATCCAAGAATTGTCTCTAGTTGCCTTTGCTTGATTTTGTTGCATGGTTAGTTCAAACGTTGACCTACTGTAAAACAAGTCAGAGAGCTTTGGTGACTAGTAGTTGGAGTGATTGGAATGAGATTGTTGCTGTCTTCTGAGCTGCTTGGCAAACTGGTTTACATTTATGACAGTTGCAGTGTCTTTTGATTACATTATCGCAATTTGCAACCTTCCCAACCAGCTTCCGACAAGCAGAATCAATTGGGGAAGTCAAATTCATTTTAACAACTACATGAGTCACTTAATAACCATGTGTTTCATTTAACAACTTTGGTAAAAAAGGTCACAAAATCATGTCTGGCCACGTGATGACTTGTTAATGACCGCATCGCTTAGCGATCAAAATTCCATCCCAATTTTGTACGTCAGGGACTCTTTGCTACCTTATTAGAATGACTCTTCAAATATCAGTGGTTAACATGGTTAGGCTTATATTGACTATGGCCTATCAGCATTCCTTTTATGGCCCCCTGAGTGGGTGAGGCCAAAAAAATTGTCCCAGTTGTTCATTTTTGGAGGAACTGGGGAAGATTTTAAGGAGAAATTACATGCTTTAAACTTTACAGAACTAAGGATTAATATCTGTAGGACAGAGAAATAATTTTACAAGTATGCGTCAGGTATGTAGACATATGTATAATGTATATGATGCATACTTTTCTATGCAGTTGATATAGAGAGAATTACTTATGAACAGTTGTGAATTTCAAATTTCCATTTTCAAACTAGTTAGAGGATTTTACTGATTTCCCTTAGACCAATTTCTTCACTTTTATTTCTTCCAAATCTCTCATTAACATATAAAATGTGGCAGAAAACAATAGTTGATATTATAGTAAGTTAAAAATCTGGCTAGTGTTCTTCTCCAATAGCTTCCAGGATAATTTAGAAATGAAGCAACACCACCACAGTTAGGGGAATGAACACATGAATACAGGTAGTCCTCAATTTACAACAGTTCATTTATGATTGTTCAAAATTACAGTGGCATTTTAAAAAGTGACTTATGATCAGTTTTCACACACTCGCAGCCTCCCCATGGTCACATGATAACAAAATTCAGATGCTTGACAGTTGGTTCATATTTATGATGATTGCAGTGTCTCAGGGTCATGTGATCAGCTTCTGCGATCTTCTGATAAGCCAAGTCAATGGGGAAGCCAGATTCACTTAACAACTGTGTTACTAATTTCACAACTGCACTGATTCACTTAACAACTGTTGCAAGAAAGCAAAGCTCACTTAACAAATGTCTCACTTAGCGACATAAATGCTGACTTCAACTGTAGTTGTAACTTGAGGACTACCTGAGGTAATGGTTCATTTAGTGACTGTTCAAAGTTACAAAGGCATTGAAAAAAGGTGACTGATGTCCATTTTTCAGAGTTACAACTTTTGTAGCATTTCCGTGATCATGTGATCAAAATTCAGGTGCTTGGCATCTGGTTCATACTTATGACCATTGCTGTGTCCCAAGGTCATGCGATCATTGTTTGCAGCTTTCTGACAAGCAGAGTCAATGGGGAAACCAGATTCACTTAACAACCGGGTTAATAACTTATCAGCAGCAGTGATTCACTTAACAACTGTGGCAAGAAAGATAGTAAAATGGGGCAAAACTCACTTAACAAATATCTCACTTAACAACAGAAAAATGTTGGGTTCAATTGTGGTCATAAATCAAGGACTATCTATACAGTATATACAGAGAGGATAGGGAATCTATAATCCACCAGACCTTAGTCAATTGCCTCTCCCATCATCTTTCATAATAATCCCTGCTGTAGCTGTTATTCACCATCTATTGGAGGACCATAGATCCCTCATCCCTGGCATATAGGATTCAGCCTAAGATTCAGAGAATGACCCATAATAGGCTTAACAGTATTTCTCTGCCTGCAAATGGCCTAGACCTCAGCTAGTTGCAACTGATTTTCTTCACACAATGTAGCATTATATCTCCAGAGTGATTTCTGCAAAAATGCAGAGTACTCAGATGATCTTTGAAACTCTCACTCTGGAGAGTTGAAACTTGTTTTGGTTATACTTTGCTCTTTGAATTTGTGATGTAAGTGTGTAGAATATTTTTAGTGTTATGTTCCTTGCCGTTCAGAAGAAGATAATGTTCAGTTAGGCCATAATTAGTGCCCTTGTTTCCTATGTGCCAATCATGTAAGTAAATAATAAGCAGACTGTTTTCATAAGTGAAGGCTTTATTGTTAACATTCAAATTATTAAACCCTTGAAGGTAGACTTTTAGGCATTCCTGGTCAAATTTAATATTTCAGTGAATACCCAGGTGAACAGAAGCTGACACATCCTGTACATGGGCATAGTTAAACACAACATCTTTCAGCAGATTTAAATGCATATTTATTATTTATGTTCAGTTGCTGCAGATTCATAAGAAAGTTATGTGTATGGCTTTGCAGAAGCTTGGACACCCATTTAGCCAATGCTTTGTAATGCCTCTTTTGGCAAAACAAGTTTCCAAATACTGTATTACCTTTGGTCATTAAGATCCTTTCTATACTTGCTTTTTGAATTTTTGCCTCTCTTCCTTTCATAACTCTTCTAACTCAGAAATATTCCTAATTTTTTCCCCTTTTTCAATAACAAACAACTGTGGGGACTGCAAAGACCATTTCAAAACTGGTGAAATATCCACCCTCTTTTTGTCTTCAGTTTTCTTCACTGACTTAAATGCTTCATCTCTTTTTCTCCAAGTGTATCTTGTATGATTGTAGTTGAACAGTTCAATCTTTGTTTTATCAGTCCAAAGCACTTTGTTCCAAAATGTTTCCAACTTATCAAGGTTTCCTTTTGCATATTTTAAAATATGATTTCTGTGATGAGGTCAGAGAAAAGTTTTCCTTCTGTCAACTCTTTTGATACAAATCTTAGTTCTGTAAGTAACAGTGTACTATGGACAGTTAAACTCTTCAGCAAATCATGATCCTTGGGATCTCTTTTGCAAATCTGACAGGTTCCGGGTAGCTCCCACAATTTTTCTTGATCTTCCAGTTCAGCAATTCCATGGAACTTCCATTTCTTGCCTGGTGGCTTCTCTGACATGCTTTCCCTTCCTTCCCTATGTTACCAACCAATTGTTCTCTGAATGTGAGGGAGTGATTGCTATGAATCAGAGCTGATAATGACAGGTTCTGAAGAAGATGATAAGCTGGAACTTTTTTAAAGGAATATTCCACAATTTTAAGCCTTGCCATGCCACTCATCCAGTCTTTTCCATTCTACTTTTCTGTACTCTTTTACAAATTGCTAAAATACGCTTATTCTTAGTTAACTTGGAGAGAACTTAGGAATCTCTTTTCTGCAATTACCTTGCAGAAATCAGCAAGGGGAAAGCCTGGATTCTCTCTTTGCTCAGCATCCAATCCTCCACATCCAAACCTGATTGAGTCTGATCAATTTCACCGTCCTCCCCGCACCATTAAAGAGTGAGGAAGAGAGGGTGAAATTAACCACGAAACCTAGACCACTTTCTGTTGCATAGAAGAACTCTGAGAAAAGGAGAAGTCTGCTTTAGCTTCAGATTTATAGGGGGCAGAAAAGGTTCCTTCATTCAATAGCCCTGCATGAACATGATTACCAGCAAGGTGTCCTCAGGCACTGCTGAGGCCATCCTGTCATTGCTCATGAATACCGTGATGGAGGATAGTTCTGTCTTCTAGCTGAGACTCAATATCGGGAAGAAGGACTGCTTGCCAAGCTACCACTGGGCCATCTGAACTCTTTCAGTAGAGGAAGGGAAAAGAACTTAGTTGTCCTCTATTGTCTCTCCTTGATTACAATTGTTTAATGCTACATATTGTCACTGCCTGCTAGTCAAAAGTAGCATAGGTTATAGGGAAGCTGTTAAGAAAATTTTGCTGCAATTCTTATTTTCCTTTGCAATGGAAATACCAGCCTCCACAAGGTTACTCTTTCCCCTATCCAAAACCTTAAGAAATGGAAGAAAATAGCTCCCTTAAAGAAGTGTCCGGTCTTTTAAGCAGCCAATATACAAATGGCCACAAAGGTGAGGAATTCAGCAGCCACATCTAATGAGTCAGTTCTGCAAAAGGCCAATTGGAGCTCAATATATGTTGACTTACATATTATTGTTGACACTGTTGACTCTCTTCCATGGGTCATGAATTGTTCAGGAGGGGCTGGAGCTAGCATAAAAGGGAAAACAGTCTTGGGCTGCTCTGACATCAGACTGGTGGCAATATGGAATTTCTGTGTGAGGACACATCCTCAGCAAATTGTCTCTGCTGAGATCTTTATTCTCTGCTTTCTTTTTCTATGGCTCTTCTACTCTTTTCAGCTCTTCTTTCTACTCTTTCACTCTCTCTCCTCTGCCAGAATACTATCCAACTGTTCCCCTTTCCCACCATTTCCTTTCCATATAGTTTCCCTATCTCCATCCTGACTTTTAGCACTGGAAGTCTTAAAATCTTCTTTCTCCCTATTCCTGATCCTACTCTCCCCAGGTTCAGCAAAATATAAGAGAAAGGTTTCAAAGGAAGTTTGAGGAGTAACATCTGTCTTGGGAGGAGGGAGGATGCTGAGGGTTAGTAGACACCTAGGGATGCCAACGTGGGTGCCAAGCATGTCAGCAAACTAGACTGAATATTCTGGATGAATTGTACCTACTTGTTGATTAGGACTTTCATTCAAAATATAAAGAGACATTCCTGTTCTTATTGATGACTTTCCTGGAAGGATTAAAAGTAGGAGATGCAGAGAAAAAAGCCCCCAAAGCCATCGAATAAAAATACATCTAAAATAAAAAGGGATAAAGTTGTTATTGCTTGTCATATTAAAAACAATTGTATGATTACTGTCTAAAGGGGTCCTATGTAGAAGAAATCCTACATAGAACTGCTAATGTGGAAGCTTTGTTTGCCTGTTTGTTATTCTTTTTAGAAACTATATTTTTGGGTTTTCATAATGAGATAAACAAGACAGTGGCAGGCTGGGCATGGTGTTATTAATATACAGATAAGGCAAATGACAATATGAACAGCTAAGAATAGCTTGCACAGAACACTCAGTCATGGTTCAGCTCTTTCTTTAGTGCTTGCTCCCTCTAAAGGTCAGATTGGAGAATAGCATATGTTGGGAGCGGAAAGTGGGAGATAGAATTAGAGGCTCCTTTACAGGAATTCAGTGTAATCAGTGCCAAAAAGAATTATGTGCAAAAGGGATATTTTAAATTACTATTTTAAAATTGATAGGAAAGTAAAATTTAAAATGAACATTGAAATATGCTTTAAAGGAAAAGGTCTCCTCAAATGTGAATTTTATAAAACATTTAACCCTGTTCATTATCAAAAGCGCTCTCCCAATTCAGTCTCAAGATGGAGGGGGCTGAGTGACTAAAGGAACTTCCCCTCCAGATGTGTGGTCTATTTATTATGGGAAATGTAGTGCTGAAAGATGGTATATTGTGGTATATTCTGTTAAGCTGACTATACTCTCTCTCTTTGAAAATATGCTGAGATGTAGTCACATATGCCAACCCCTTATGTGTTTCTCAGTTCCCTCTTTCCCCCCCACTACAAAAGGCATAAATTCAGCATCTAGGAAAATATTACCACCTTCTTTGTGTGTGAGGGAAAGGGGCTGTTTGACTGTTTCTCTCCCTGCATTTTGGACCAAGCCAGCGCTAAATAATGGCTGACTGCCCTTCACTCTCTGGTGTTCCATGTGCCTGCTTTGCTCATTCTGACCAGTGCAAAATGAACAGCTGAATGAGTCATTCCATTTCCTGGTGGACGTGTTCATAATGTCCTCTAAGCTGATATCTTGAACTCCCTCTTCCTCCTCCTTTCACTACACTGTTCCCTATCTTTGCAAGCAGTCGGAGCAATTAATCACAATAATGTCATTTGAAAATTAGGTCTCTTCAACTTAAGAGCTCAAAGCTTTTTATATTAAAAAAAAAAAAAGGCTGGCGTTTTTGTAATGTACCGTGTGTGTATTCTTCCCCATAGACAGCAAAACCGTGAGATTACTGATTGAAAGGGGAGAGTGCAATCTAACCATGATAACTGAGAAGTATAATCATTTCTATCTGCAGTTTCAGGTTGCTTTATAAAAGCCCGTTATGCACTAGAATAGGTTGAGAGGCATGCATAAGCATGTCCGTAGACTTCAGCATGGAAGTGTTATAACCACAGGAAGATATAAGGGTTGCCTTATTCCACATCATGCAAATGCAATCTTTTATTTACATTCCTTTAAACATTTTAATTCTGCTTTTCTAGTTAGAATTTCCTCAGCATTTTTTTAAAGTCAGGTAATGAGAACAGGTAATGGTAAGCAGGACCTCTGACAGAGGTAGGGGACATTTTTTGCTATATGAACTAGAGAATCAAAGGAATGATCCTTTGATGCAAAGCTTATACCTTTCTCTGCATTAAAGATTCCAAAATACAGGAATTCCCGAGGTTAAGATGTATGACCTCTGCAACATCAATAACACTAAACCAAGGACAGACAAGCTGGTTGTGATGTCCAAAGGTTCTGTGACATCAGAGTGATCAGCTAGTGGCATTAAGAAAAAAAGGCAGGGGCAAAGGAAGATTTGAAACCACGAAGAGGCAGATGTGATAGCATTCTTTTGAGCAGTTCTTTCACAATTATGGCAATAAACATGATTTAGGCTGCACTTTTAAATACACTTTGACAAGAATGCATCTTGCTAAACATAGTGGTAAAGTTGTGAGTAAGGCTATATAGAATTGCAGTTCATATTTCTAGTCTGTTGTGTTGCAACAAATGCATCTTCCATAAAAAAAAATGAGAAGATATATTGGACAAAAATTGCAGGCCATACCCGCTTGAAACCACCCTGTACAGGAAATGCTTTAAATAACTTATAAGAAATGCACAAGTGTGTGTTTTAACAAGCCCTTGAGAGAAGGGCTCCAAAGATATGGGAGCAGCTTCAGAAAATAAGGCCTTATTCCATTATTGTTTTTAACTCATGCTAGATAATGTTTTGTCAGCAGATCTTAAAAATGGCAATTGATACAAAAGAGTTGAGCTTTCAAGCACAAGACTTTTAGGGAGATGGGATTGAAAAACATTAACATGAAAGATTAAAAAAGTGTATTGTTCAGTTGGTGGCATATGGGAGACAAAAACACGATAAAGAACTTGGTGGCTTACCAATTGCTTAGCTTGTTTTGTAAATCCCTGATGGATAGGGGGGACAACTCTACTTTCTCAATGAGGGCTAGCTGCTCTGAAGCCATATTTCTTGACCGTTGTCCCTTCTACAGTGTTCAAAGTTGTTCTCCATTTTCTGAGTCGTCTTTAGACTTTACTTCCTTCCCTTTTTATGTTGGAAACTTGAGATTTTATTTCATCAAATCAAAAGGTATTTTCAGAAATTCATACTACAGGCCAAATGACAGGTAGATTCACTGAGCCTTGTTCAGATTCTTTGCAAGCAGCTTAAAGCCTCCGTGCATAGGTAGCGCTTTGCTATTTAAAGAACAAAGTTGGCTGTGTGGAGTGAAGGAGATATCTGATGGTTGTTTCTCCTGTGTTTCTCTTTGTCTCCCATGCAGGCATCAGTCAGAGTCGGATCTCCCACTGGCTGTTGCAACAGGGATCAGACCTGAGTGAACAAAAGAAAAGGGCCTTTTACCGATGGTACCAGCTTGAGAAATCAAATCCAGGTAAACAAAATCAAGTTAAGATATTCTGGCTGTTTCTTCTAAACTACGCCTTTTGTCACAGGGCTGTGATTGTTGTTGGCTCCATGCTTTAACCAGCAGAGAACACACACTCTCCCCACACTCTCTCCCCAATCACAGCCTGTCAAAGATCATTATTTGAAAGTGGCAGCTGAGGCACTTTGCAAATAGGGTTGACTATAATTGGGGTTATTATTTTAATTAGGCTAAGAAAATTTTTCCCCAACTTTGTGCTCTCCAGGTATATTGGGCTCCAAGTCCCACAATGACAAGACCAAAAGACATGTAGGCTAGAAATTTATAGAACTTCCGGTAAATTGCCACACATGTAGAGGAGACCAGGTTACAGAAACTTAAGCAATTGTGAATTTTCTCACCACTTTCTGTTTTAGCTCACATACTTGATTAGTGGTAGCTGAGTGGCCTGCTGACTAAACTAAGTAGCCTTCTTCTTCAAGAACATAGCCGTTTTTAAGGAAGGAGGAAGAATAGCCAGGGACATTCATTTGTTCAAAACATTTGTATATCTGCCCATCTTAAAACCAATCTCTGGACATCTTACAGTGCAACCATTCAAACAAAATATATAGCTGAAACAAAAACTAGGAAAAACCTGGCACTACAATCACATATTCCTGATGCAACCCATCAATTCTTCCATTATTGTTTTACCTTATCTGAGCACCTAGAGGAAAATCTTTGTGTTGACTGCTGTCCAGAAGGATAAAAGGGTGTCATCCTGTCAGATCTCCAGTGGGAGGATCTTTATAGGGCAGGTGCAATGGAAAACTACCTTTCCAAGGACCCACAAGGTGGCAATGTTTAAGAGAAAGGACCTGGAGTATTATATCTGCACTGGTGGGATGGGCATATATCCTCAGGAAGTGGCAGTCCTGCGGATAACTTAAAAATATTTATAAAGCTATCATGTCCTGTCCAGAGTATCGATTATTATATAGTTTAAATTAAGATTTCTTTCATAGCTCTTTTGGAAAGGCCACATGCATGTAATCTATCCAGGTTGTAATTTTCCTTCTTGGTGTAGAGCAAGGAGAGAGATGAATGTCCTAAAATATAAATAACTCAGAATTGAAATGAAATTTGGAAAGGATCTCAACGGTCATATAGTTAGTTCAACCCTCACAGATGCAAGAAATCTATTATTGAGATACCCTGCCAGGTGGCCATGCAGCTTCTATTTAAACCTAACAAATAAAATAACTTCTGACAACATGAACTCTTCAGTGATAGAAAGAGAGCTTCGGAAGAGAGCACCCCATTCTTCATTAGAGTGTCTGAAGAAGATGCTGGACAAAAACCTGTGAAGGTACAAAGCAGTATAGATTATTGGATGGCTTTCAAATGAAGGAAATGAAACTTCAGTGAGACTTCATCTGCCTAATATTTCAGAAAAGAAATTCCTCTTGCCTTGAGTTTCCCTTTTTATTCTTGGCTTTCAAACCTCAAAAAACAGAGCCAAACAAAGCTTTGGGGAGGGGATTGTAATTTAATGCCATCGTTTCTATGTGCATTCCTTAATAAGATTTATGGTGATTTTTCTGCAGTTGCATGATTTTCTTCCAATAAAGGTGAATGTTTGTAGCTCAGGGTTGAAATAATGGTCCTTGGTGCTCTCTGAGCTTGCTTGTTTTCTTGCAGACTAGGTAATATCATCAGTGCTAGTAAGGAGTGCTGTTTGCTGTCAGTTTATGTTCTGGTGACTTGCCTGTCTGTGTGGGTAGGGGATGGTCTTAGAGATTCTTTGGTTGGGCTGTTTACTGATGGCTCTTTGACAGTTCCTTGAATAGGGTATTTTTTACTTGATTGTTGGTCTGAGGCAGGGTTGTCAAACTTGTGGTCCGAGGACCGGATGCGTCACACCCTGGCCATGCCCACCCCCGGTTTAGCGAAGGGGAAAAAGGTCACGATATGCCATGTGACAATGATGCGAGGATGCGAGTTTGACACCCCTGGTTGGAGGTTAACCTTGGAGTTAATCTATGCTGATCTGGTTGCTGATTATGGGTGGAGAGGTGCTGGAGTCTTTTTGTTTTCTTTTGGGCTGGTTGATTTGTCTCTTTTGCATAGTTTATAGCTGTTGTTAATGTCTATGTGCCTATCTTTTTCTTCTCTCAACTAATGTTCTTGCAATAGAAAAGTAGGATGCATTATATCTCCTCATAAGATGGGTGCAGGTGACAGTAGGAATCTCTGTGTTGGTAATAGTTACATAGTATAGGAAATACTAGGATTTTCAGTGACTGTTATTTTTATGATGCAACAAAGGATAGGAACTAAAAATTAGTATAACAAACACTAGGGTAGTTGCATTTGATAAAGAAAATTAAGGGAACAGTTGCAAAGTACATTAACTGTTTAAAAACTAGCGCCAGTAGGTGAAGCTGCATTTTTTGGTAAAGTATTTATGAAAGATGGGAAATGAACAGAGATTCTAAGGCCATGATAGTGAACCTATGGCACGTGTGGGCACCAGCTCTGGGTTAGGGTTAGGAAACCAGCTGCTCTTCTGATTTCCGGCACTCCGGTGCACGTGTGTACATACACGCGCACACACATGTTCCAGTTTGGGCACTCGGTGCCAAAAAGGTTCGCCATCACTGTTCTAAGGCATGAAAATCCTGGCAGAAAAAGAGTGGGTAGCATCAGTGGTGAAATGTAAAATTTGTTACTACCGGTTCTGTGGGCGTGGCTTGGTGGGTGGGTGGGGATAATGTGATTGGGTGGGCATGGCTAACTTTTTTTTTTTACTTTTAAAAGCATTTTTTCTACAACCTCTTGTAGAAGAGGTTCAGCCGAAGAGAAAAAAATGCTTTTAAAAGCCTCTGACGATCAGACAACTCAGCTGGGATCGTCAGAGGCTTTTAAAAGCATTTTTTTTTCCTACAACCTCTTCGCCCGAAGAGGTTGTAGAAAAAATGCTTTTAAAAGTTAAAAAACAGCCTCTGATGATCACACGGCTCAGCTGGGCATGGGGGGGGCGTACAGGGATTTTTGCTACTTGTTCTCCGAACTACCCGCCGCCATCGCTACCAGATCGGGCAATCCGTTCTGAACCGGGAGCATTTCACCCATAGGTAGCATGCATTTTATTGAGTGAAATGAATGTTGAAAGAAGTGAAAAATTGCTGTGTATGAGAGCTTGCTTCTGCTCATTTTGTTACATGGAAGTAAGAGTTGGATATATCAGAAGAAACATAAAAGTAAATCAAATGTAATGGGAATGGTTACTTAAAAACGTGTGTGGTAAAACAGAAGGATAAGGTCAAGAACAAATACGGTAAGTGCCGAATGAATATGGATTGAATATGAAAGTGAGTCATCAGGGTGAAAAGAAATGGATTGAAATATGAAATGAATCAGGATCAAATCACAAAACAAATACCTAACAGATGAGTAAATAGGTTAAGAGGAATGGACAAACTGGGAAAGTCACGATGAGATGGAATTGATAAGAGAAGTGAGAAGTTTCAAGACAAAAAGCAATGTTTGAAGCAGTTTCCCGTTGTGGTGAAAATAAGAATGATTTTCAGGAAATACCTGAAAGAACCCAAGAAGCTTCTTGGATGAGAAGCGAAACATCTTCAAGGAAAAACAAAGTCCAGTTGCCTTTTGAAAACGCACCTTTGGGACAAGTTTCAAGAAACAGGAATATAGTGAAAGGTTTTGATATTAATTAGATTAATTTTCTTATTTCATGCCTTTATTTCTTTGACATGCTATTTCTTAACTTCTTCTGCACTTTGTATCAGTATTGCGTTGATCCCGGTTCTCACCGGTTCGCAAGAACCGGTAGTAAAAATCTGTAGTAGATCGGAGAACCAGTAATAACATTGGCTGGCCATGCCCCTGAACCAGTCCCCAGCCCGGTCGCCGCTCGCTTACCCCACCCACCTCATCAGAGGATCTTTTTTTTTTTTTTTTTTACTTTTAAAAGCATTTTTTTCTACAACCTCTTCGGCCGAAGAGGTTGTAGAAAGAAAAATGCCTTTAAAAGCTTCTGGCAATCCCAGCTGAGTTGCCCGATCGTCAGAGGCTTTTAAAAGCATTTTAAAGCATTTTAAAGGTTGTAGAAAAATGCTTTTAAAAGTAAAAAAAAAAAAAAAAAAAGTTGGCCATGCCCACCCAGTCACATTACCCCCCACCAAGTCATGCCCACAAATAAGCCATGCCCACAGAACCAGTAGTAAAAAAATTTAGAACCAACCCCTGCTTTGTATAATGGTACTTATACATGAGAATAGCAGGATAGGTATGAATATGGAGAGTTTGCCAAATAATTGCTTCATTCTCAAAACTTCAAGAATTAAATTGCTCCAGCTTGGAGGTATTGCTGTCATTGTTAATATTATTTTGGTTGAAGTCTGTCGCTTAGTTCCTGTCTGTATGTATATGAGGTTACCTTGCTAGATTAAATTTTGGTTAAGTTGTTGCAAATTGTCTTTACTTTCTCTCTTGGTAGGCATCTCATGAACATTATGGACTTTTTCATGTGGCATATCATTTTTGTGCAAAAATACAGCGTAGAATCTCTGGACATTTGAGTTTCACTTATATATTAGATAAGTAACCACAAATGACAGCCATCTATCAAACAGGCATAATTAAGAAAGACCGAGCACTCATGTTTACAACTTTAAAAGAAAAGAATTGATAGGGATGAGGGAGAAAAAAATCCCAAAGCATAGCTATTAGCTTTTGGTTGCAAAATTACTTATAAGGGTAATCCTCAATTTATGACCCCAGTTGAGCCCAAAATTTATGTTGTTAAATGAGACATTTGTTAAGTGAATTTTGCCCCATTTTACGACCTTTCTTGCCTCAGTTGTTAAGTGAATCACTGCAGTTGTTAATTTAGTAACCCGGTCATTAAGTGAATCTGGCTACTGCAATGACTTTGCCAGAAGATCGCAAAAGGTGATCACATGATTTTGGGGGACACAGCAACTGTCATAAATAGGAAC